TTTGTACACATTCTTTCTAAAGAGTGGTGCCCAGAATTGAACACAGTATGCTAGCTGAGGCCTAAGCAGTGCCAAGTAAACTGGGACAATTACTTCCCAGGTTTCACGTACAATACTACTATTAATACATCTCAGTTTGATTTTTTTTTTGCACTTAATCATATTGCTGATTCTCATTCAATTTGTGATCCACTATGTCCACAGATTCTTTTCAGCAGTACTATTATCTAGCCAGTTAGACCATATTCTGTAGGTGTATATTGAATTTTTCCTTCCTAAGAGAAATACTTTGCACTTGTTTTAAGGGAATTTCCTCTTGTTGAATTCAGACTAATTTTCCAGTTTGTCAAGATAATTTACATTCTAGTGCTGTCTTCCTAAGTGCTTGCAGCTCTTCCCATATAGATGTTGTCTGCAGATTTTATAAGCATACTCTACACATTGTTAGCCAAGTCATTAATGAAAATATTGCATAGCATTGGACCCAGAACTGATTCCTGTGGGATTCCAGTAGATCCCAGTTTGATAGGGAACCATTGAATAACTAATCTCTAAATATAGTCTTTCAACTGATTGTACACACATTTTAGTAATTTCATCTAAGTAAGGTTATGCCTTATCACCCCATTGCCTTCCAGGTGCTTACAGATCATTTACTAATTTGTGCTAGTATCTTTCCAGATATCAAAGTTAGGTACACTGGTCTGTAATTCCTCAAGTGCTTTTTTTCTACCTTTTTAAATTTAGATATTTAAATTTTTGCCCTTCTCCATGGAGAAAGAGAGGTAGACCTCGAATGTAGCTGTGGCAGCACAAGTGGTGGGATGGACTAGCCATCCCAAATATATGCCTAGGGTCTTGGATGGGTACATGCTTGGGGCAGGCAGTCACTCCATCAGTTTGTACTGCTGCAGCAACACTCTCTTGCTCCTTGAGAACTGGAGCAGATATTTCTCTTAGAACTGGGAATCACCTCCCTCAACTCAATGAGTAGGCATACACTTGTGTGAAAAATATACATCTGCACTATAGCAGTTATAACAGTCTGCACAGTGGGTCCATGTTCTTTGTGTTGGAGGGATGATTTTGTTTCTCCTGCCAAACATCTCTCCTCCCATTTACTTCATCTTTGTACAAGGTCCAGAATTTAGTTAAAGAATTGCATTTCAGTTTTCATTTTATGGATTAGCAATACAAATGTAAATACTAAATTATGAAAAAGGTTAAGATCTCTCTTTGTCTCTGTGTCTCCCTCTCTCACACACATACATAATGTAGATGCTAGTATCTGTAATAATACACATTTCCTGTTTGCCTAGAAAAATAATGAAGTAGTCCATGACACATAATTATCACAGCATTATTTCCCTGAATTTGAAGGGATTATTGTTTTTAAGTTACAGATTTAAATTGTACATTCTCTTGTACCCTTAGGATCCCAACCAAATCATTAGGATTGTGTGATATAACTGAATGCAGAATCTGGCCTAGACATTTTGCAGTATTCCTCTTTCCTATGTTACATATGCTTCCAAGTTATGAAATTCTTCCCTGAGTAATGTAAATCACTGGAGATTTTTGTATTATACTGTATTTATTCTTCATGCAGTCTATTAGGGTGAAATTCATTCATGTCCACACAAAGCCCAACTGTATTTAGGATACCTTTAGCACTTAGTAAGAGCTTAAAATGTGATTTAAGAAGCGCAGAGGCTTTTTGCTGGGCCTTTCCTCAAGTGTGCATTTGACTTTAATATAATATTTTTAAAAAAGGCAGCACAGGATCACCAGAGAGTTTTATAGTACATTACTGAAATCACCAGAATGGTACAGAAGTTGTATTCATATAAACAATGGTTTTCTAATCAAAAGAAGTTGAACACTATTGTCTGGGAGGGCTATGCTCCAAAATAAATGTAGTATAATACTGTGGCTAGTAAACCTGATGTCAAAATCCATTAATACATAGTAAAATGCAGTAATATATAATATGAAGTTTTTTTTTAATTAATTTTGAGACTGGCAAATTGAATGGCTGCTAATTAACAGCTTGCCCATTCATAACCAAATATTTGCAACTAGTCGTGGGAGAACCGTTTAGAAAAATTGTAGATGTTCCCATGAAATATTTGTAGAGATTAGAATTCTCTTAAAATGCTTGTATTATGGGAAATTTTTCAAATTACAATAATCCAGTGATTTTTATCATATGAAAGTAGAATAAAATATCTCAGAATTGTAACCTGCTTGTTTAGATTCATCTGCTTGAGTTCTCTGTCTGTCTGTCTGTCTGGAATAGAGTTCATCACATATCAGAATTCTCATCCCATCACAAATTGCAATATTTTCAAATGTGTTTTAGAAATATATCCATTTTCTTATGGAAAACTTCATTTTTGTGGAAATCCCATTTTCTGTCCAATAACTGTTTCAAGTGATAGTGCCTGCCAGTTCTCATTGGAATTCTCATTGATTGTGGCAGAAAGCTGGACGATTTTTCTTGGTCTAGGGTTATGATACTTGTATAGCTTTCCTGCAGAACTTGATCCTGCAAGTTGCTTAGCATTTTTTGAATGGCACCTGAGAGTATTTAGGGTCAGAATTAGTCACCTAATGATGATATGGGGATTTTCAAGAGTGCCTAAGATTAGCTGCTTATCTCTGGAGTATCTAAGTAACTGCATCTTTAGGCTAGGGATGCTTATCAGATAGTCAACAAGTCACTCCTGCCCCCATGCTGCCTCTATCAGAAAGAGGCATCAAGGAGGGGGGGGGGAAGGAGAAGAAAGGGTACTTCAAAGCAGCAGTGCAACGTAGCCAGACCCCAGGCTCCACACAGTGCTGCCGCTTTGAAACATCGCTTGCAGCTCAGGGCCAGCTGGAGTGACCCTATGCTGCACATGGCATTTCAAATCAGCAGTGCCGCGTGGAGCCTAGGATCAGCTGGGGACTCCACCGCTGACCCCTGGCTCCATGCGGTGCTGCCACTTTGAAATGCTGTGGGGAGCCTGATGCCAGGTTCCCTGGGGCATTTCAAAGCGGCAGTGCTGCATAGAGTCCAGGGTTAGGCAGGAGTCCCCAGCTGACTGGGGGCTCCATGCGACACTGCTGCTTTGAAATGCTGCGGGGAGCACAGGGGTACGGGGGGGACTGCCCCGCTGGCCTGTGCTCCCCGCAGTGCTTCACCTTTGAAGTGTAGCAACAGACCTAGGCCTGTTGCTACACTTCAAAGGCGGAGGTGCCCATCGACTAATTGAATAGTCAATGCAAATTGCATCAACTATTTGATTACTCAATATTCAGAATTTAACGTCCCTCCTTTAGGCACCTAAATACGTTTAAAAATCTGGGTGTTAATACCTTGTAAGTTTTGGCCCTTTATTTCTCAAAATGTTCCTGATTTTTACTTTAGTATCTCTCTCAGTATCATGCTAGGGTTTCAGATGTCAGGCCTCCTTTTACATCCCCCCTTAGATGCCCAGAGTGTTCTTTCTGTGGCTAGATTCCCCAACTTTCTCCTTTTCTGACATGCCACTTCCCACCCAATCAGTCTAACATTTTTCATCCACGGTACTTACTTGTGCCCCCCTCTCTCCAAATTCTTTAAATTTTATAGATTGATTTGAGATAGGATTTACTATTACTCTCACAATCAACCCAAAGGAACAGCTTGTGTTTGAACACTTCTTTTCCTTCCCATTCCCTCTCTTCTCTTCCAGAGAGACCTGAGTGTCCACAATATATTTATAATACATTTTAAATATAAAGATGGATGTTTTTATCCCTCACATGCCCTCCTTCTGTTGCTTTCTCCTCTTTTTGCACCTTCAATGGCAAAACCTGACTATTTAATGCAATGCTATTATTTATGCTTAGTGAGGTTTCCCCTACAAGAAAATGAGTTTCCTGTAGCCTTATACCTTGTTTTTTTGTTTGTTTTGGAGATCTGCAGAACAACTTCTAAGTAATTATGTTTGTGCCTCTTCTTAAATGGCTAGAATACTCAACTCAATTAAGATGAATAGATAATTGATTATGACTAGAAAACCAAAAGGTGATATTCAAAAGAAGATGGAAAATGCTGTAAGTCACACCAGGCTGAGAACCACACACAAGTACTCATTATGATAGTCTATATAAGACCATAAAAGCCATTTTTCCTCAAGACCACTCTATTATAAGCACATCAGTCTAAGAGCTTAATCTTACAAACATGTACTCCCATGTATTATTACTTCATTCATGAGTAATCTCATTATCATCAATAGCACCTCAATGAGAAGTCATGTATGTGTTTGTTTGCATGATTATGAGTTATGTTTGAACGCTTTCTTCTGTCTTAAGAAGTTCTAATTTTTATAAATATTTTGTGTTTTTTCTTCCGTGGATTTTATTGGAGATTTCATCACTAAAAAACTTTGGTTTTCCATTTCACTATCTTATGTGACAATTTATATATATATATATTTTGGACATCCTAAATTTCAGTAAATTTATTTTTCATAATGAGACACTTTATTCTAGTTTTGGTTGTCATGCTAGTCAATGTCAATTAGCACACATGAGCAAACATATGCACATGGAGAGTCCTTTTGATTTACAAATCACATGGGTAAGTGTCTAGGACCGAAACCTAAAATTGGCAGCTCCTCATATTGCTTAAGAAATTACCTTAATAGATGTGGGACTGTTTTTTAAATTAGTATTTTAATAGAGTAACAATTCCCAACTGATGTTGCTGTGTGAATGATCCAAAAATCTGTTTAAATTTTTCTAAAATGGATTCTCCTATCTCTAGCTGCAGCTAATGAATATTTTGTCTGTTGAGAATTTGTCTATTTTAAATGTCTTTAATTTTACTTCCAATCCTACATTCACATAAATATGCTATATGAAACATATGTGATACTCTAATTTAATTTTAACATTTGTGTCATAGAATGCTTCTTTAGTAATGTAAATAATTGTTAGTATTCTGTAATAACAGTATATTTTTTTAGCAGGTCAGATTGTTTCTCCACAGTCTGCTCCCGCCTGCATTGAAAATAAAAATGATGTGAGCAGAGAAAACAGCACTGTTGACTTTAGCAAGGTAAGCATTTATTGACTGAAAAGTACCTTCTGACTGGCAGGTAGACATTTTACATAAAAAGAGTGGTTTGTGTTAATCAGAGAATGCTCTAAAGGTGTTTTGTGTCAATATTATAAATTGCCACATGTCAGTGCCACAAAATACATATGTTGCACCTACAAGAAAGAAGGTTTTTAAACATTTCCAATAAAACATTTTTAAAGCATTGCTAGCAGGAAATCACATTCCAGGAGATTAGACACACTTTTCATTTCACAATACTGCAAAGAGACAACAAACTGTAGTGAGAGATCTCAGAAATGAGTAAAGGGCTGACTAACCAGGAAAGTAATTCAGATTGGTTATCATTCAGTCTTAGCATGTGTTCTCTTGTGGGCATAACACATAAATGTAAAACACACTTTTTCTACCTATTTTTGTGGTTTCTGCCTGTCTTTTGTAAAACATCTACAACTTCCTAGCATTTGTCATGCCAAGATATTTCAGTGCCAAGCTGTACATCTCTTTACCAAGCTGTACAATAGTTTGGTAGTGTGGTTTTTAATGGCAAACTCATAGAAAGCAGGGAAATATAAGCAAGTTTTCAATTTTAGTATAACTAATGTGCCTCATCTTTGGAGAAGATGGTGCATGCCTAAAACAGACTTGCACATTAGTTACAGTCATGTGATAGGCATGACAGTAACAGGTGACTTCAATTGTTGTTTGGGTGAGTAAGAGTTGAGCAAATCAGAAAAGGTGAATAAAACTGAAATGCTAAAGTGATTTACAGAGTTAATGAAGAATGGCACTTTGAATCTGTTGTGGAATCTGACTGCCAGCCAGAATAATTGAGTCAATACTAGAGTTATGCGCTCACTCCATCTGGTGCCAGACAGAATCCTAGCAGCAGCAGTTTGTACCAGCTGAAGTCTGTCAGTTTTGCATGCAAGGGCGAGGAGACCATTAAAAAGGGCAATACTGTTGTCTATGTGGGATGAAACAAAGACATGAAAAGGACCTTTTGCATCAGAGAGAGAGAGAGAGAGAGAGAGAGAGAGAGAGACTTCATTCTAGATGTCTTGCTGCACTGGTTGCATGCAGATTTAATTACAGCAGAGACATGTAATTCAAACTGGAGACCAGTTCTAATCCTTTAAATACATGTATCAGTAAACAAAAGTATGTCTAAGTTGTAACATTTTTGCAATTAATACAATTCATACATTTTTACAATTAATACAATTAATTACAATTAATACTTTTAAAACAACATTGAATAAAAATGTTACTACTTAGAAAGACATACTTTTGTTTAAAAAAAAGACAGAACTATGTAGCACTTTAAAGACTAACAAGATGGTTTATTAGGTGATGAGCTTTTGTGGGCCAGACCCACTTCCTCAGATCAATTTGTGGAAGAAAATTGGCATGACCATATATACCAAAGTGATACAATAAAAAAAAGTGAACACATATAAAATTGAAAAATCGAATTTTAGAACATAGTGGGGATGAGGGGGGAAGGTTAGTGTCTGTGAGGTAATGACATTAGGGGTGATAATTGGGAAGCTATCTTTGTAATGGGTGAGATAATTAGCATCTTTGTTGAGACCCACACATAAAGTATCAAATTTAAGCATAAATGACAATTCTGAAGCTTCTCTTTGAAGTCTGGAGTTAAAATCTCTCTGAATCAATATTCATGTTTTAAGGTCATTGAGAGAATGGTCAGTCTGGCTAAAATGGCACGCAACATCTTTCTCTCTGTGAGAGAGCCTGATGTCTGTTTTATGTGCATTGATTCTTTGGCGAAGTGTCTGAGAAGTTTGTCCAATGTACATAGCAGACGGACACTTTAGGCACATGATGGCATAAATTATATTTCTGGATGAACAGGAATACGTATTCTTGATCTTGTAATAGGCATGGTTAGGTCATGGCTGCATCTCTATCACTATTATACTTTTGTTTACTGATACATGTATTTCAAGGATTAATTAGTACAAACTAATATTCATATTTTAGGGAAATATTCTGTCTATTAAATCTATTGTGAAGAGTAGCATTAAAATCTTCTTCTTCTTAAACCCTTGTACTCCGCGTGGAGCATAGGTCATCTACAAGTCTCCTCTACTTCACTCTGACTTGAGACAAAACTTCTAGCTGACTCCAGGAGTACCCCAGTTGTCCTTCAATCTCAGTAGATCTTCTCCACATTGTCCGAGGTCTTCCTCTTTTGCATTTTCCTTTCAGGTTCCATTTGAGCGCTTGCCGGACTTTGCTGGAACATTAAAATAGTTTTGTCTAATTTAAATTTAAAAAATAGAGTTGAGACCAAAAGCAACCTGGAGAACACTACACCACTTCATGTAATGTTTTTCTCACAAGTCTCCATCATCTCTTTGAAAGCTGAATGCCAGAACCCACTGAACTCATAGTTACGGGTCTTTGACTCCACAGCTTTCAACATCAGGCTTGGTTTTCTAGATGTTTTTCATGCTGAAGGAAAATAGAGAAAGCAGATTTTGAACCTTCATTCATCAACTTTACATGGATGTGATATCATTGACTTCACTAGAACTCTTCTGGATTCTCACTGGTGTGAGCACTGGTGCTGGAACAGGAGTAGTGGCATGCTGAAATAGTAATAGCAAACACCAAATACACAGTTTCCATGATTTCTACTATCATCACCCCCCTACAAAAAATTTTCAAGGACCCCTTGGTCTGAGAGGAGGACAAGGTCCCACCTTTCTAGCTAACCTTAAGAGCCTTCAGTAAGTTAAACACCAGTAGTTGTTTCATGAAGTAAGAAAAGAAAGAGACAGCTTTTGTTTACATGGATAAAATTGCCTCATGGAATTGTAACTAGAAGACTTTTTTCTAGCTGCCTTTTATATAGTTTAAATACACAGGCTTATGATGATAAACTAGGGATACAATCTCCCATGATAAGTGCCAGTATAGAAACTTAGGATGGCAGCAATTGGATTTATGTGCTTGGATTGAGAGTAAAGTAGTGTTATGCAGAACACACATACACTTATTCTAGACTGCCCCCTCTTGTGCAAAAGAATATACAAATGAGGTGAAGTGGTGACTATCGCTATGCCTCATTTGCATACTTAATGAGCTGCCATTTTTGCACCAGGGGCTTTTGCCTTTTGTCTACATGGCTCCTTTTTGTGCAAAACCCTCCTCTTGCACGAGAGCCATTCTGCCTGAAAAAAAGCAGCAGAACGGCTCTTGCGCAAGAGGGGGGTTTTGCGCAAAAAGGAGCAGTGAAAATCGCTCCTTTTTGTGCAAAAGCCCCTTGTGCAAAATGGCGGCTCATTAAGTATGCAAATGAGGTGTGGGGATATTCACCTCTTAACCTCATTTGCATAGTCTCTTGCACAAGATAGCACTGTATTAGACGTAGCCAAAAGGCTTGTCTGTATGGTGTGGCAAAGTGACTAGAGCTGTGTGATTTCTAAAGTGCACTAGCATGCTGCATACAAACTGCACTCTAAAAGGTTTTTGCTTCACACGAATATAGTGTCATTTCAAAGAAGACTATGTTAACAATACTTTTTTTAGAGTACAACAGCAAAATTTACATAGGACAGACCTTTGTAGAGTGCTCTGCAAATCATACCTGTCTAGTATACTTTGTCAGTGCCAAGTAGAAAGGGCCTCAGTTTCTTCCTGAGTATTGTAATTTCTTACTCTAGTGTTGTTCCACGTGTTAATTTCATTTTGTCTTCTACAAAAGTGCCATTGACACCTCATTTACAGTCTAATCCATCTCCCCAAGGGCTGCTTCTAACATTCCAAACTTGCATCCTCAATCTGGATACTAGAAACAGTCCAAAAACTGTATCGGTGGTATTATCAGAATATTTCTTCCTAGTGATGGATAAAGATTAGCAGACATATTTAACAATGCAATCTGCCCATTGAATGCTGCTCAAGCATGCCAGATTTCTATGAATGAATTAGAGAAGGTTTTAAGGGTCTGTCATGGCCCCCATCTTTGCCCCTGGTAATGGACTATGTAGGGAATGAATGAAACTCACTTAACTTTCATTCTTCTCTGCTTCTGATTTACACTACAGGCTGAACTATTCCCCAGCAACCTCTAAATATGGGAAAGTTTAAAGAGACTTCAATTTTGCTCCCCTTGCTTACAAAATACCTGTGCTCAGTACAGGAACAGAGTAGCTTTTAATCAAAGTCAAATTCAATGCTGATACCATAAGATATTTCAAAATACATGTGATGCAATTGATTGAGAGATGTGATTGACTTATCATGTAGAGTCCTATAGAGTTCCACCTTGCCTCCCCTGCTGTCCAGTGCATATGGAACTGTTAAGAGAAGCTAGTGAGGAGGAATGGGCTGTGGTACTTTCATATGCTGATGAATCCCATTTCTTACCCAATCCAGCCACCCCATCAAATAACTTTGCCAGTGTCTCATTGAAATTGGGGCATGGATGAAGACTAGCTGGCTGAAGCCCTTTCCTGAATAGAATGAGGTCAGACTGGTAGGTTGGAGAAAGCAACCAGAAGTTATGGTGGAGATCTTCTCTGCCTCTTAATGGTGGATGTGTGCTGGCTGTGAGACTTCATGGTCTAGAGCTATTCTTGGAACCCCTGTTCTTAAACAATGATAAAGCAGCAGTTTCTAGGAATCCCTTTTTTCATTTTCATTTGTCCATATGAAGCTTGCCATTATCGACTATGACTTTATCTCCTCAGAGGCGTGCTATGAGATCCAGTCACAAACTGAAGTTAGTGTAGAAAGCAGCAGTCCATATGCTCTGTGGAGTCTCTCACCCTGAGCACATGTCACTAATGCTCCCTGACCTGTGCCAGCTGCCTAGTTATCTCTTGGTTTAGTTTAAGGTGTCAGTTTTAGACCTTAAATCCCTTGATTAACTTGGTTTCTGCCTACTTGAGAAAGGGCCTCTCTTTTCATGTGGTATTACAAAAACTGCAGTCAGTAGAGGAGCTCCATCTGGAATCTCCTCGGTATAAACTAGAGGAAACAGCTGTTTACTATGAGGGGCCCTCAGTTTTAGAACCAGATCTTTTGATCTGAAATAGCGTAAATATGGCACACTACAAGGCTCATCTACCTACCCAGATTTGGAGGTACAATAAAGAATCAGTGTTTGAGAGTTTGATTTCATCTCTGGTTAGTTATTTTCTGGTTTAGGGGTGACAAAAAGCTGCTGTTTCTATTTTTTATATGATTGTAATTTTAATTAATGGAAGAAGCCCTGAGAGACCATGATAGGCAATATATTTTGGAAAATAATTAAAAAGAGCTAAAGATTCTTTCTCAAGCGTCTGTGGAGACTCTACTCCACTAGTAGCTTATTCCTCTGAAAAAGTACCCAGACCTCTCAGTCTAGTAGTCATTAGTCTTTCCTGTTGGTTTGTCAGGTGTCTAGCACACTGAAATATCATATTGTCATAAAGAAGACTTACCCTAATCTAGCATAACATTAGAAACGTGGCTTTCTGGGTTTGGGGAAATAATAACATTTTTAAAAATAACACACGCAACTCCGCTATGTCTAAATTCTGATTAAGTGCCAGAGCCATTTGCAAAGAAATCAGTTTTCTAAATATTACTGAAGACTATTTACACTAATACTGACAGATGGCTGTAAGATAGACATTAAAATGGTCCACTTTAACAGTTTATATTGGATTTGGTCACTGTTGTTGTATTTAGATTAATAAAGGGAAAGCAAATGACAAAATCACACAGTCTGAAATTCTTAGGCAAAACTAGTGCATTATGAAGTCAGTTGTACATGTTATATATTGTATTGTTGTTACACAATGACATCACCATGAAAGAATAGTAATAGAGATATAACCGTGTTAGTCTAGTCTAGCTTAAACAAAAAACAGGACTATGTAGCACTTTAAAGACTAACAAGATGGTTTATTAGCTGATGAGCTTTCATGGGCCAGACCCACTTCCTCAGATCAAATTGTGGAAGAAAATAGGCATGAGCATATATACCAAAGGGATACAATAAAAAAAAAAGTGAACACATATAAAAAGGACAAATCAGATTTCAGAACAGAGGAGGGATGAGGGGAGGGAAGGTAAATGTCTGTGAGCTAATGATATTAGAGGTGATAATTGGGGAAGCTATCTTTGCAGGTAATCAAGTCGTTGAGACAATGCCCTTTCTGGTTGAAGTGTCAAGAAACTGTTTTTTCTTTATGATACTGTCAGATATCCGTTTTGTGTGCATTGATTTTATAGCGAAGCATCTGAGACGTTTGTCCAATGTACATAGCAGACGGACACTGTTGGCACATGATAACATAAATTATATTTCTGGATTAGCAGGAATATGTGTTCTTGATCTTATAACTGAATTGGTTAGGTCCAATAATGGTGTCAGCAGAGTAAATATATGGACAAAGCTGGCAACGGGGTTTGTTGCAAGGAAAAGTTCCAGGGTTGGTATTAGTGTGGTATGTCCTGTGGTTGTTGGTCAGAATCATCCTGAGGTTAGGTGGTTGTCTATAGGAGACTATGGGTCTGTCTCCCAGAGCCTCTCGGAGTGTAGTATCCTGTTCTAGTATAGGTTGTAGTTTATTGATAATGTGTTGGACAGATTTAAGGTGGGGGCTATAGGTGATGACAAGTGGTGTTCTATTGTTGGTTTTCTTGGGTCGGTCTTGAAGTAGATGGGTTCTGGGTATTCGTCTGGCTCTTTCAATTTGTTTTTTTATTTCTCCAGGTGGGTAATTGACATTTATAAATGCTTGGTAGAGATCCTGAAGTTTCTGGTCTCTGTCAGTGGGATTAGAGCAGATGCGGTTGTATCGAAGGGCTTGGCTATAGATGATGGATCGTATGGTGTGTTCTGGATGGGAGCTGGAAGCCTATAGACGATGGATTGTATGGTGTGTTCTGAATGGGAGCCGGAGGCATGTAGGTAACTGAATGAGTCAGCGGGTTTTCTGTAGAGAGTAGTATCTAATTTACCATTGGTGATTTGTACTGTGGTGTCCAGAAAATGGATCTCTCGTGTAGAATGGTCCAGGCTGAGATTGATGGTGGGGTGTAGGTTGTTAAAGTCTCTGTGAAATGCATCCAGTGTTTCTTGGCCATGGGTCCAGATCATAAAGATGTCATTGATGTAGCATAAGTAGAGAAGAGGTAAAAGGGGACGGGTTCTGAGGAAACATTGTTCTAAGTCAGCCATAAAGATGTTAACGTTCTGTGGGGCCATGCAGGTACCCATGGCTATGCCGCTGATCTGGAGGTATAAGTTGTCCTCAAATTGGAAATAATTGTGGATGAGAACAAAAAGTTACATAGGTCTGCTACCAGACTGGCAGTGGTGTCCTCTGGGATAGTGTTTCTAATTGCTTGTAATCCGTCTTCATGTGGGATATTGGTGTATAGAGCTTCTACATCCATGGTAGCAAGGATGGTGTTATCGGGAATGTTATAGATGTTTTGTAGTTTTCTCAGGAAGTCAGTGGCATCTCGGAGATAGCTGGGAGTGTTGGTTGCATAGGATTTGAGAAGAGAGAGTCTACATAGCTGGATAATCCAGTAGTGAGTGTGCCGATACCTGAGATGATGGGACGTCTGGGGTGTCCAGGTTTATGGATTTTGGGAAGAAGATAGAACAATCCTGGTCGGGGTTCAGAAGATGTTTCTTCGTAGATTTTGTCATGAGTAGATGTTGGGAGTTCTTTAAGGAGACGGTGTAGTTTCTTTTGGTATTCTGAAGTGGGATCAGAGGAGATAAGTTTCTAAAATGTGGTGTTGGAGAGTTGCCTTCTAAGCCACCAGTTCAGACTCTTAACTCCCTAGTGTAGACCAGGGCTATTTCAAAATAACACCCCTTATTTTGAAATAAGCAGAGCATTCACACTACCAAGCCCGTTATTTCAAAATAAGAGGCAGGTTATTTCGAAATCTGTTCTCCTGCTTTCCTTGGGGAATAAGCTTATTTCAAAAATTATTTCAGGAGTTATTTCAAATTTAGTTCTTTTGAAATAATTTCCTAGTGCCTTTAGTGGTGTGTCCAGATTTTAAACAGCGACTTGATTACCTGCATACTGCTTCAAAGGCATTTTAACACCAGACTTGAAAGAGAAACCTCTGAACTGTCATTCATGCTTAAATTTGACACTACGCCTGGGTCTCAATAAAGATGCTAATTACCTTATCCATTACAAAGATAGTTTCCCAAATTTTCACCTCTAATATCATTAGCTCACAGACATTAACCTCCCCCCCTCTGAAATTTGATTTGTCCTTTTTATATGTGTTCACTTTTTTTTTATTGTATCCCTTTGGTATATATGGTTGTGACAATTTTCTTCCACAATTTGATCTGAGGAAGTGGGTCTGGCCCACGAATGCTCATCACCTAATAAACCATCTTGTTAGTCTTTAAAGTGCTACATAGTCCTGTTTTTTGTATCACCATGAAAGTAATATATAAATATGAGTCTGAATTACAGTCAAATGACTAAAGACTCTATAAAATAATGGTATAATCAAGATAGATTTCAACTCAGATTGTTAAAAATGATAGTTTCATATATACCCAGCACTTTTCAAAACTACAATAAAATACAATGTTGAAAGTATTTACGACAGGACTGACATTTGTCAAAGGCTTGCTCCATATGAACCCTTAAGGAATCTTTATATAAGGGATAATCAACTGGTGATATCATACAGTAATGGCATGGCTCTTCCATCTCTTCAGCACCGAATGTCACTTCTCTGTAGTGTCAAACTGATTACCCCACTTTACTCTTTAACTAGTTATCTTCAGAGCTTATTTTCACCAATATGCTTTGTGACTTTTGGCAGATAGAAAAACAGTCATGAAAAGAAGGTATCAATTTCCCATCTTATTGGGACTCTAACATAACAACCTCATCCACTGAATCCAAGTTTCCTACATACACTATCTCCTGATAAAACTGGGTCTTTGCCCCCTCCTAACTACTGTTAATTGGCATAATAAAGAAGATAATAGGAAATATACCATCTTTTGTTTTCTTTTAAGATTTGCTTTGGTCTGTAGACAAAATACTTAGGATACATTAAATGTTATTTGTGCAGCAAGATTATCTATATCTCCTTTGCACAGCTGGGCAAATGCTAAACACTGATAATTACCAAGAGGCATTCAAGAGACAAGAACAGTTCAAGTAGGCAGGTTAAAAAAGCTCAGGCTCCTAGTCATATGTTAAGTGGTGACTGAGTGAAGTTATTTCTGTCATTAAAATATAAATTGTTTCGTAACATTAGTTTTTCAGATAACATACCAAGTTCTTTCCTTCAAACTTTCGACTGTTATTCTTTTAAATATTAGGTTGACCTACACTTTATGAAAAAGATACCTCCTGGAGCTGAAGCTTCAAACATTTTAGTTGGTGAACTAGAGTTTTTGGATCGTGCCGTAGTAGCTTTTGTTAGATTGTGCCCTGCAGTATTGCTTTCAGGACTAGCTGAAGTTCCAATTCCAACAAGGTAAGTGCAGATTGTGCTAAAATATAGATGGCGGTTTATTCACATTTTTCTAAATTGAATCGCTTGAAAATGTGGGTGGGAGTAATCGTTCAGCCACTTTTCCTTTCTTCCTTTAAATAATGCATACTTAGGTTTATTATTGGACATGAGGCCTATGTTCCCTTTGCAGAAGTAGAAGCACAAGTGCACTGTTTCTGAAACCATCACGTGTAGATTAACATATTTGAATTCAAATATTTGAGATGAATTGCAAATAAGCTGAAGGCTTAAAGAGCAAAGAGGTTGAGCAGGTTAACGGTGAGGATAGTAATTGCTTGCAGAATCCTGCATAACTTTTTTTGGAAGGAGAATGACAAAGGCATAAAAATAGAGCCCATTCCAATTTTTTATTAACATAGCATTGTTCAAAAGCAATGGGCATCTGGAGTGAACAGCTGAAATAGAGAGAACTAAAAGGGGTGATTGAGTTAGAGTACCCACATATTTCACCACTGCTCCTCCTGTGGTTTGTTTTTCTTGATTAGACCCCTTTCCTTTGCTTCCTTGGATTTGACTTGTATTCTGTCTTTCAGGAGAACCTAGGAGGGGAGGAGGAAGGAGAGAGAGAGAGAAATGAATTCTAGCTTTTTATTTTATTGTCTAAATAATTTTAAAGTTAAGTAAAATGGGAGAGAAATTTCCTAGGAAAATAACTTTGAGGATGCTTCCACAGCATAAATAATGATATGATGATACAGAATGTAGTCATCTTTGAAAAATTAGAAGATATTGGGTATTAATACAAATGTCTGTGAACATATTAAATATTAGTATGTAGTTACTTTTTAATACAAAGGCCTAACTGTGGCTGAGCTAATATGGTGGTGCAGGGTTATTGTGGGTAGCATAATGGCCACGGAAAAAGGATTTTAACAATAACCACATCCCCTTCTTGCACAGGTTGACACAAAAGGGAGTGTGGGTTGGCTGCAGAGCTTTAACCTTACCCCACAAATGTGCCAGATAGCATATCTACGCCAATGTACTGGGCATAGAACAGAAGCAGTTTACTCTCTTACTCAAGCAGCGAGGGAACCTAAAGGGAAATTGAACCCATTACACTGAGGGGATGGAAAAGCCATGAGTGTGTTCTTGATGATTATTTGTCCAGGAATTTATGCTAGAAGTGCTCTGATCATTATTCATTCTTTTCCATTTGTTCATTTTAAACTGAGCAGAAACACAACCATTCAACTTGCCTGTTCATACTTTGACTATTCACTATTCATGATGAGAATAGCTTGACTATCCCATAGTAAAATTGTTCATATAAATACTTGGCGAATGCTTATGAATAACAAGTAAATTCACTGAATTCAGTTTCTGAGTGATTTGCAAAGTAGATAAAAAGGCTACATTCTTAATTGATGATTAGATTGGCCCTAATTAGGGTTATCACTTTAGTAAATATGAACTTGGAAATAAATCTGGCTGATGCCGGCTAACAAATATATATATATATATGTGTGTGTGTATGCATATGTATATATATGTGTCCATAAGTCCATACAGGAATGGAAGCTGAACATACTGCATTTTCTTTATACAATTTGACTCAAGAGTTGGTCAAAATATGGCAATTGTGTTCTGCAGAAAAATTTTGATGAAATATTCAAAAATATTTTTTTCTGAAACTGAAAATGTTTTGGGTTTTGAGTTTTCTGTTTTCTTCCCCTGACCCTTTTCAGTTTTCCATTGTGCTGCTAGTAGAAAAGTCTGGGTATTCTTTTTTGAATGATTGTAAATATTAAAGAAAAAATATTTTAAAAACCATTTTAAAAATCATTTTTGTGACAAAAAGATTTAAATAAAAAATAGCAATTGTTTTATTATGTTTGGCAACCCCATAAGCTCTTGGCAGAACATTCCATAGTTCTAATTCTTGAAAATGGATGCATAGAGAATGGCATAGAGGAGAACTAGAATTCTAGTAGATAAAACACACAGTTGAGACAACAATACTTATTTTCCATCCACTGTGTGTACGTGTCTGTCTGGGTATCTTCTCCAATTTTGCAAAAATGCTGCGTGGTGATAAATCCATGCTTCTGTCAAAAGAACTTCTGCCTAATTATTAGGATGCTCAAAATGTAACTGCATATTTGTGGAACTGAAGTGAGTTTAGGTATTTACAGCTATTCAGACCATCTCTGAATGCTCCTTGAATAAAATACATTTATGTAATGTTTTATAATTGTATTTCCCTTTTTAAAGGATATTTAGAGAGAGGTTATTTCCCCTCTTTAGACATTACTTCCTCTAATCAATTTTATGAACTTTTCTCTGTTATATTATGTTAATTTAAGGTTTCCATTCTTGAATTATCAGCTTTGGATTTTTTATTTGCAGATTTTTGTTTATTCTTCTGGGACCCCTAGGGAAGGGCCAACAGTATCATGAGATTGGAAGATCAATTGCAACATTGATGACAGATGAGGTATATATTAATTATCTATTTATTTATAAAGTAATTTTAAATAGGACGACTCCAAACCAAAAAGTTTACCAGATTCGGTGCCCATCAGTAACTTGCCTAATTAGTGGGAACCCCTATAATTTTAAGTCAGTCTTTGAGAAATTATCTAAAGAAATGGGTTGTACCCACAAAAGCTCATGATACCATCTACATTTTTTGTTAGTCTCTAAGGTGCTGCAGGATCATTCATGGTTTTTAAAGTGTTTTTAAACAGTTGGCAATTAAATCCTGGTGTTAGCCCAAAAGATAATAAGTGGATAGGCCTTGACATCATTTGCAATGTCGTTGTAATATTTTTAATAAAATATTGTCTATAATTGACCTAACTGCAAGCTTCTTAACACTAATAGTTGTTTACATAGCTGAGCTTCACTTATCTCAGGCACTTAATTTTATCTCTGAACCCTTATATATTAGCATTTTGATTTTGTAGTGTAAGATTCAACTCCATGATTGTATTTTTCCTGCTGCAGCCAAACACACAGACATACTTTTTTGGTCTAGCTTTTTTTTTTTTTTTTTTTTAATTAAGTTGCATAGAGGAAACAAAAGATGGGATTTGAGCTTCTAATTGGAACATCGTTTAACCATTCTTATAATATGCAAACAGGATTAGAATCCATTTTCTAACCCTATGGCTGTGATGGTTAGAGGGAGAAACTTCTGTCATGAAACTAATCAGATAGGTGTAGAGATACAAAAATAACATTCAGAGATCAGATCTGCTGAATAGGAAGATGTCATTTCAGAGAGACATTTTTCAGTGGAATTAACTATATTTTCAAATGTAAGATACTTGGAAAATTCAGCAATCTTGAAGTATGCTTTCCAACCTCGCTATCTTACTAGAAACCACAGGTAGCTCAAAACTGTGATTCATTTTATAACTGGGGAAATAAATAAGTTGCATACCATATAGAAGAAGGGAATACCACGAAGGATTTTACGCTCTTGTTTACATGTAGAACAAGTATCTCTTGTATTTCACTTCTTTTGCTTCCTTTAACAGGTGTTCCATGATGTTGCTTATAAATCTAAAGATCGGAATGACTTGGTTTCTGGAATAGATGAGTTCCTCGATCAGGTTACAGTTCTCCCTCCCGGAGAATGGGACCCAACAATTCGAATAGAGCCACCCAAAAATGTGCCCTCTCAGGTATGCACAGTGTAAAATTACAGCTTCTAAAAGTTTAGTGGACTGGAAATGTTATAAGATAAAGTCTTTTATTAGTCTACTATGACAATAAATGTAGACAGCTGAAGTCTGAACTTTCATGCATTATTTGTTATTTAACTTAACATGCCTGGGAAGAACAACAGCGGTGAGGCTGTTGTTCATACTTAGTTCAGTTCCAGGCCTCTCCTGACTGGAGACAAATAATTGTATAAAATAGAACACAATATAGTGCATTGATTTTGACTTTTGTTACTTAGATACCAGTGAGACAAGTACATTAGAAGTATCTGAGAGAGGAACTGCTCTTCAATAGACCACATACTCATTTCATTATTATGTGTGTGTAAAATGTCTGTTGTTGATTTCTGAGCAGTTCTAAGTGATTTTTTTAAATTACAGGACTTTTGTTCATGTAATCCTCTCTGGGCAAATTATGCCCTTATCTTATGCCTGTGTACTGTTTATTCTACAGAAGAGTAGCCATCAGAGGCCTCATATCAATAATAGAATATCAGGAACACAAAACAAAATGGTGTACATACTCCTCCCCCTGGGGAGAGAATGAAAGAAAAACATGACAGATGTTAGTCATAGACTCATAGGACTGGAAGGGACCTCAAGAGGCCATCGAGTCCAGCCCCCTGCCCTCAAGGCAGGACCAAGCTCTGTCTACACCATCCCTGACAGATGTCTATCTAACCTGTTCTTAAATATCTCCAGAGAGGAAGATTCCAAAACCTCCCTTGGCAATTTATTCCAATATTTGACCACCCTGACAGTTAGGAATTTTTTCCTAATGTCCAATCTAAACCTCCCTTGCTGCACTTTAAGCCCATTACTCCTTGTCCTGTCCTCAGAAACCAAGAGGAACAAATTTTCTCCTTCCTCCTTGTGACACCCTTTTAGATATTTGAAAACCACTATCATGTCCCCCCTTAATCTTCGTTTTTCCAAACTAAACAAGCCCAGTTCACGAAGCCTGGCTTCATAGGTCATGTTCTCTAAACCTTTAATCATTCTTGTCGCTCTTCTCTGTACCCTTTCCAATTTCTCCACATCTTTCTTGAAATGTGGCGCCCAGAACTGGACACAGTACTCCAGCTGAGGCCTAACTAGTACAGAGTAGAGCAGCATCACACTGTTGACTCATATTCAACTTGTGGTCCACTATGACCCCTAGATCTCTTTCCGCCATGCTCCTTCCTAGACAGTCGCTTCCCATCTTGTATGTATGGAACTGATTGTTCCTTCCTAAGTGGAGCACTTTGCATTTCTCTTTATTAAACCTCATCCTGTTTACCTCTGACCATTTCTCTAACTTGCTAAGGTCATTTTGAATTATGTCCCTATCCTCCAAAGAAGTTGCAACCCCACCCAGTTTGGTATCATCTGCAAACTTAATAAGCGTACTCTCTATCCCAATATCTACATCATTGATGAAGATATTGAATAGTACGGGTCCCAAAACAGACCCTTGAGGAACTCCACTTGTTATCCCTTTCCAGCAGGATTTAGCACCGTTAACAACCACTCTCTGACTACGGTTATCCAGCCAATTATGCACCCATCTTATTGTGGCCCTATCTAAGTTATATTTGCCTAGTTTATCAATAAGAATATCATGCGAGACTGTATCAAATGCCTTACTAAAGTCTAGGTATATGACATCCACCGCTTCTCCCTTATCCACAAGGCTCGTTATCTTATCAAAGAAAGCTATCAGATTAGTTTGGCATGACTTGTTCTTCACAAACCCATGCTGGCTATTCCCTATCACTTTATTACCTTCCAAGTGTTTGCATATGATTTCCTTAATTACCTGCTCCATTATTTTCCCTGGGACAGACAAACTGACCTGTCTGTAGTTTCCTGGGTTGTTCTTATTCCCCTTTTTGTAGATGGGCACAATATTTGTTGTCATGTTGTTTAATGCATGGGAATACTATGGTGAAGAGTGCTATACAAGAATCTAGATAGTGTAGACTAAATAGTAGATGTAGATCATGGTTTTAGATCAAACAAACACTTCACTACTTTACTTTTAAGGACATTGGATACTTGGTTTTCAAAGGGTAGGACTTGACAGAATGATAGAATTTTATTCTTACTCTGATTCTTGTTGCACTTCAAATAAGAGACGAGTAAGTTACGCAAACTCACTTTAAGATTGAAACAAAAGAGAAATTGTACAAGACCTATGTGTTCCACAGAAATGATTATAAATGAGAATGTTGTGAAGCCATTGTTACTCTGCAGAGACATAGATATTTTAAATATATTTTTAAACTGTGGCCTTGGCTTCCCTGGATAGTTGTAAGAAATCCAGGAAAAATTGAGAAATAAAGGAATATTTTTGTTCAATCTAGATTGCATTCCTTAAACTTAATTTATTGTTATTGCATGTTCAACACATGTTTAAATGGCTTTTGAAATGCAATCTACTTTTCTACTCTTTGATTATAATTGTCCTGCTTTTTACATTTTTTTGCACCTCAACACATGAATATTAATTATTTTGTTTATTTTTATATTCAAGAGCTGTCTGCTTTTGTCAAGTTGCTAGTATTAAGTGGAAATATGATGACCTTGAAAGAAAGAACAGTTACAAAATGTCTCTTGTTCATTTAAAATGTGTTTTTTGGCAAATTTGTTGGATCCAATTTTTGATTTATTATTTTATAGCAAAGGAGCTCTTTATGGTATTTCCATATACATGGTTCTTCCGCAGCTCATAGGTGAAACACATGAAGTTTGGGAGTCCCTTGAAATTTACTTAAAATTATTGCAGCATTTCAGGACTCAACTTCTAGCCATTCTGGGCCAAGTCTATGGACAGAGACTTAAGGATAGCTAGAATTATGGTGCACTGAACTAAATTATTCTGGAACACGGAAGTGGATCTGAAATGAATCATACTTGCTGCAAAGGAATGAGTGCTTCTCTGCTAGCAGGGAGGTAGAGACATAAAGTAAATGAAGTCCTCAGTGCATTTTACCTCCCTCCCCCTGAAGAAAGCCAACCTCTTCTGCACCTGTGAGCACAGGGAGTTACTGCAGACCATAGCCAACAGGATCCCTTGCTAAGCTATCATAAGTGGAGAGAGGGTGTCAGGAATATATATACAAAGGTCCCTATATGTTGACATTAAAAATTGTGGAATAGTTACAGGGTACTTATAAGGGGTTGTCCTCTAGTCCTGACTGATCATTTTCTGACACTCTAGTTAATAGCAGAAGTCCATTTGATTCCCCCTGCTGTGGAATGGAGGAGATATCCCAACTGACTTGCTGTTTGCCATGTGATGGTCATGATGGAGCCAGGGTAAACTAGCCTATTCAGAATCCTGCTCTCTAGTGTCATCAACACCCTTTCTGGGACATGGCTCCTAGCCCTGGACATTGCTGTACTTTCCTCCTGAAGAGAAGCAGTTTGCCACTGGGCAAAGCTGTTACCATGGCCAGACCTCCTGTTTACTGAAAGAATCTCACTTCCAGCTCTCCTTCCGTCTCTTCTCCTGTGAAGAGGGGGTTGCTTTGGAAGCTTAGAAGCAGTGCTACCAGTTGAGCATAGTATTGCTATGTCCTACTCTTTGCAAGCTGCTTTTCCTCTGTCATAGCATCCTATTTGAAGACAGAACATTCAAATGACACCTCACAGAATGGACACATGAGTATAGTTCTAGATGTGCACTTATGCATAGAAACGGAAAAGGGTACTCAACACGAAAAATGACTGACTATGCCACATGTCTACTTTGCTAAAACTGAATTTTGGGGTTAAACTCAATAGAAACTGTCTTTTCTTTCTTGTAGGAGAAGCGCAAGGTACCAGGAGTGCCAAATGGAACAGCAGCTCATGGGGACCCAGAACCGCTAGGTGGACACAGTGGGCCAGAATTGCAACGGACTGGAAAGTTAGTGGAAAACTTGATGAAATGCGATACTATTTTTAAGCAATATACTTCCAAAAGGAAGTATAATGGCCTGATTCTCACTCAGCTATATTGATATTGCTTGTCACTGAATACGCTGTAATGGAGTTATTCCTAATTCATGTATCTCTACACGACTGGATCTTAGATAAACAGGCTCTTAGATAACTGATGGTGCAAATTTTAGTTATGGTATATGTTTCCTACTGTCTTTGTTTAATGTAAGTTCCTTTCTCAATAGTATATGATGGTTAGCCACTGTTAATCATGTTTATGGATACTTCTCCTGTATAGAGTGGAAGGAATAGTGGAAGAGGCATGCTCTCCTTTGTCATTAAAACTGCCTATTTTATTTCTGAGCATGGTTAGTGTGAAGCCCTATTGTGCAGCTTCTGTAAAAGCAGTAGGCCAAAATATTCACTGAGATATGCAGTTCCTATTCATATGAATAACTGTTGTGTGTACACATGTATGAGGACCTAAGGTACACACAAAAGAATATTAGTATTTTTTTCTAATACTATATTTTAAATACACGAACTTTTGTTGTAACACCTGAGTTATGAATTGACCAGTCAACTACCTGATTTATCTGAAAAAGGAAATATGCTTTGGCAGCAGCAGAGATGCTCCCCACAAAAAGGCAAACACAGTATAGTACCATGTTAAATATAAATTACTTAAAAAAAAAGAAAGAAAAGAAATGGAAAGCAGCATTCTTCTTCTGCCTAGTAAGTTTTAAAACTGTATTAAGTCAATGTTCAGTTGTAAACATTTGAAAGAACAACAATAACGTTTTTTTCAGAGTTAGGAACATGTCAGAGTTACAAACAATCTCGTAACTCTGAGGTTCTGTCAGCCGACGGTCAGGGCAGTGTGTGTGTGTGTGTGTGTGTGTGTGTGTGTGTGTGTGTGTGTGTGCTGAGAAAAGGTTTAATGTCCGTGACTTTACTGCTAGGACCAGGGTCCCATTGCAGAGGGCAGCCAACAGGCTGACAGACGCCCCTGTTTATAGGAAGAGCTTATTACACCTCAGATTTTAGCTGCTAGGATACAGGATCCCTTTGCAGCGGGCAGTCTAGGGAAGACTGAGAGATGCCCCAACGGATCTGTCACCTGGGAGTGACACGATCCAAATGCCTAAGCTCTTCCTATACCTGTCCCTTATGACCAGCTGAAGTTCTTTTAAATTGTGCTTGGTTCTGCTACAGCAACTGAAGGAGTCAGGTTAAAAACTTAAACAGTTACAGATTTATTAAAAAGACTTATAAAAGCATATGGTTACAATGGCTTTTGCTCTCTTTCTTAACCGCTAGCAAATATAGATCTTAAAAATGGTTACAAAGAAAATAAAGATAGAAAATAGAAATAATGGTACCAAGTGACAGCTTAATCTTTAAAGAGCTCTAAGTCTATGTGTACACTTAAGACAAAGGACCACATCCAGGTACAATTTTTACCCCCTTCTGTGCCTCTCGACTCCAGCGGGTCAAGTCAGGGCCAGTCCCTCAATTCCTAGGAAAGACGAATACGAGGTGGGCGTCCCCGTGGAACCTCGGGAGGTCAAAATACCTAACCCGACCAGCAGATAGATGGTAGATTGACACTCAGAGTAAATGCGCTGCTGGACCCATCTTTATACCCCTGGGGGCCCGTATCCTCTTTTTTATCTAAGAGGCCAAATTGTACTGGTCCGTTTTGTGGCGCCAGTTCTTACAAGCAAGTTTCAAGTTAATTTACATTTGCAAGAGAGAGAACTAAATTGTGTGTACTAGACATTTTTTTACTGGGCGAGAGATTCCTCCCCCCACGGATGGCTGTGTGTTCGTATCAATATGGGATTTAGTCAAGGGCTCTCCTCATCAGCCTCTTGGTCACAATTGTCATATCTCTGTTTACAACCATTCACGGTCATAGCAGCCTGCCATATCCTGAGCCTCCTGCTCAAGGCTTTTACTGTTGTGTGCCCTGTATGCTCCAGGCAAGCAAAAATGGATGTTACAGGGGGGGTCCTGTCTGGCTACAGGTTCTACCACTGCATATTGTTTTATCCTATATGTCATGCACCATTTTTTCTGCATTTCTTTAAGATATACTTGTACCACTTCTATGACCTTAGAATTGGCCAGAAGACAGTCCATCCCCTCAAATCAAATTTAGAGCAGCCTCAGGACTGCTCTAAATTATACCTGGCTGCTTACAGGCTCAAGGGACCATTTTAGGGATGGTCAGAGTGTAGTGACACATCAGCCATGTCCCTGTAACCCAGCTACATCCAGTACATCAGGAAAAGGAGCATCACAGAGGTACCATACCAATGATATCATTCAAGATTCTACAGGTTTGTCATTTAACCAGCTTTTTGTACTGCCAAAATGGAGCAAAACAGATGGATTCTGGCTCATAAATTTAATATATTTATATATTGTGTGTATTTTGTGTAGTACAAATCACAAATTAAAACACAGTCCTTATTCTGAGAAGATTCTACCCTGCATTAATTTCCAATAAATAATATAGATGGGACAGATTTTTAAATAACAGGGATCACGGATATGTATATTTTGTGCAGTTTGGAAAGAGGGCATTTGTGCAAGCAAATGTACATTATGATGTCAATTTGTATACGCTCTTATAGTAATTCTATGTACAAGTACAATGTAGGTATGGAAGTGGTGATGTCCAGAGCTTCTGTTTTCCAGAATCTGGGAATGAGCAACGGAGAATAAATAACTTGATGATTACCTGTTCTGTTCATTCCGCCTTGGGCACCTGGGATTGGCCATTGTTGGAAGACAGAATACTGGGCTAGATGAACCAGTGGGGCAGACCAGGGAGTCTCTTAGTGCTCCTCAGGGTGGAAGCTCTCCCGCAGGGCCTCCTGAATACTGACAGCCCCCCGATGGACCTCCTGGATGACAGCCTGCAGAAAGTGTAGCCAGGCTCACAACAATGCATCCACGAGAAGCACCAGAGTGCCCAGGGGCATCTCTGGCTCCATGTTGCAGAGTGCTATGATGTCCCAAGTAAGGGCAATCAGAGCACGCAGAGACAAAATGCTATTTCGAAATGCATTTTTTGTGTAGACGTGTTATTTCAAAATATCTTATTTCGAAGTAACTATTTCAAAAATAGATATTTCAAAATAACACTGTAGAATAAACGTGCCCAGAGAAAGTAGAGGACAAAATAGAGGTGATATAAGAATGGCCATATGGGGTCAGACCAAAGGTCCATCTAGTCCAGTATCCTGTCTTCCAAAGTGACCAATGCCAAGTGCCCCAGAGAGAATGAACAGAACAGGTAATCATCAAGTGATCCATCAAGTGATCCCCTGTTGCCCATTCCCAGCTTCTGACAAATAGAGGCTAATGACACCATTTCTGCTCATCCTGACTTATAGCCATTGATGGACTTATTCTCCTGAACCCTGTTAAAGTCCTGGCCTTCACAATATCCTCTGGCAAGGAGTTCCATGGGTTTACTACCTATTGTGTGAAACAAATACTTCCTTTTGTTTGTTTTAAACCTGCTACCTATTAATTTCATTTGGTGACCCCTAGTTCTTGTGTTATGGGAAGGAGTAAATAACTTTTTCTTGTTTACTTTCTCCACACCAGTCATGATTTTATAGATTTCTATCATATCCTCCCTTAGTCATCTCTTTTCCAACCTGAAATGTCCCAGTCTTATTAATCTGTCCTCATATGGCAGCCATTCCATACCCCTAATAATTTTTGTTGCCCTCTTCTAAACTTTTCCAATGCTGAGGTATCTTTTTTGAGATGACGTGACCATATCTGCATGCAGTATTCAAGATGTGAACATACTGTGGAAGTATGTAGAGGCAATAAGATATTCTCTGTTTTATTCTCTTCCTTTTTTAATGATTCCTAACATTCTGTTTGCTTTTTTGACTCCCGCTAAACACTGAGTGGATGTTTTTGGAGAACTATCCAGAATGACTCCAAGATCTCTCTCTCTTGAGTGGTCACACTCAATTTAATACCATTTTATATGTACAGTTGGGATTATGTTTTCCAATGTACATTACTTTGCATTTAACAACATTAAAATTCATCTGCCGTTCTGTTGCCCAGTCACTTAGTTTTGTGAGATCCTTCACAGTCTGCTTTGGACTTAACTATCTTGAGCAGTTTGCAGTGCTGCAAATTTTGCCACCTCACTATTTACCCCTTTCTCCAGATCATTGACTGAGAACAAAACCCTGTGGGACCAACAGTAAAGAGTGGGAAAAGAGAAGACTGGAAGCTGCACTCATCCAAAGACATTCTGAAAGAGTTTGATAGCTTGATATGTATAATCAAGGACAGAGATATGTGGAAGTGCTATGATGGAATAGACAACTCTTGCAGAATGAGTGATACAGTTAGCTTAGTCTGATGTGTGGGGAACAACCTGATGTATAACATTTTTACTAGAATTATTTATAAAAAAGTTCCTTTCTGTAAAGGAAAAGACTTTAGATCAGACCTTCAGCTGGTATCAATCAGTATAGCTATATGAAAGTTAATGGAACTATGCAGGTTTTCCTCACATGAGAAACTATATTTTGATTTGAAGAACACAGTGACATGAGATCATAAACTGGAGTTACATATAAGCCATTGGCATTTAAGAACTTTTTTTTGTTCTGTGCTCTCTGTCCCACCTTTCTCAGGGCTACTTTTTGAATTGTCTTGAAAATTTTGCATGCAGATACCTCTTCACTACCACAGAAATTCAGGCAGGGTACTGAACAAGTTACAGTATTTATGCAATGTGACTAGACAGTATTTGGCCAAGAAGCCGTGTGCATCTTATACCATTTATGAAAATGTTGTCTGCTGCTTCCTAGTATAGTACAAAACTTGGCTACTTTTTATAGAGGGAAAGAATTGCACTGGAAGGCTTCTTTTGAGAATAAATTTCAAATTGTAAATAGCCATCCACCTTTACCTATGCCGAGTTCTACATATCTCTGGGAGTAGATCCATCAATCTCAGTGGACTACTTATGGATCAAAGTGGGACTCTTTACTCATGTTGAGATGTATTATATGACAGTAGCAGGTGTAAGATGAAAAAGAGGAAGGACACTTCATTGGTTTAAGGCTCTAGCTTTGGGACTTGGGAGAGCTGGATTCAAGTTCCTGCTCTACCATAGGCTTGCTTGGGCAAATCATTGTGTGTCTCTTGTCCCTCTCTGTGAATGAGGGGAAATAGCACTGCCCTTCTTGACATTGGTTTAGGAGAATAAATACTGTAAAGATTGTGAGAGACTCAGATTGGGGGTGGGAGACACAATTATCTTGGATTTTGCATGTACAGGTCTCATAATTCATCCCCATGGTAAAAGCAAACAGAATTCTTTCTTTCTGTCTTTATTTTTTCCCTTTTTCTTAGGTTTTTTGGGGGATTGATTTTAGATATCAAAAGAAAAGCTCCCTTCTTCTGGAGTGACTTCAGGGATGCTTTCAGTCTGCAGTGTCTAGCATCATTTTTATTTCTCTACTGTGCTTGTATGTCTCCTGTCATCACATTTGGCGGTCTACTGGGCGAAGCAACTGAAGGTCGTATAGTATGTGTTTTACTTTTAATCTGAACTTTTAAAACACATTTAATTTTTTAGGCTTGTGATTAGTATTTTCTTAATATTCTGTATGTGTTGCCTTTAAAATGTTGTAGTCTGAAACTGCATTTGTTAACCACAGTATTTGGACTCTGATAGAAAATTTCTGAAAATGCAATGTTTTTTGTCATATGCAGAGTGCAATAGAATCTTTGTTTGGAGCATCCATGACTGGAATAGCCTACTCTCTCTTTGGTGGACAGCCTCTTACTATACTAGGCAGCACAGGGCCAGTGCTGGTGTTTGAAAAGATACTATTCAAATTTTGCAAGTAAGTGAAGTGATTTTATTCAAATAAACTTTCAGAGGGTATTTTCAATGTATGGGTGTGTATTGGGCTATATCATAAGTGTACATTCTCTGGCACCATACTGAAAATTTGCCTATGTGTAATTTACCATTTGGTTACACTATTCATCTGTGACATCATGCACTACATTTTAATTGATGACAATCTATATAAAATTAAAAATATAACAAAGGCAGGATCCCATGAGAAGTAAGGATTTTGGAACAATGGAACATATACAGCAATCACACAAAGGGGATTTCGAACAATAAAAGGTGTTTTTAATTTTAGTTTTTATTTTAAAACTGTTCTGAAAAGAATCCAAACTCAGATTGTTATTGGATTATTTCCTGTTCCAAAATCATTAAATTTAAATCTTATAGAATGGGCTCCACCCTTTAAAATAAGATCGATTTGATGGCTTTTTGGCATTTTACTATTCATAACACTGTAGTGAGCAGTGTAAAGCTCACAGGTATTGGAATTAAGTAGCATTTCATAATCCATGGAATAAATACGATCAAACTTCTCTCCCTGCACCCGACTCATGAAAAAGAATTAAATAAAATATAACCCAAACTCGAAAGAGGCACTAAAACATGAGAACAAATTCTTACTTTTATGTGTTAATAAATTGTAAGATCATCCCTGCCATAATATGAGTGAAAATTGTGCCTACATTGTTAGACATCTATGGTGAGTTCCTGAGATCTACGGGCAGATGGCTACCTGCCCTACGGACTTCTTCCCATGGACTCCATTTACATCAGTATACCTCATTTTTATATCTGGGACTTCTGCTGATTCTGCAAAACATCCTGATACTATTGCTGAAAGCTGCAGCTTGGGAGGGCCTGTCAGTTCCTGACAGCCATTCCCTCCATGTGGGGAAAAGACCTCTTAACTCTGTTAGCTACGGCCAAGATATATATGACCCTAGCATGCCTCACCTATGGTTATATACAGTCAGCACAGAGGGGTTTGCTCTAGGTTGTGGATAGAGAGTGGAGGATGAGGGTCTGTGTGAATGAGGTAAGGCTGTGAAACTATTTGACTATTATATTGCAGATCACAATCACTTATTTTCTTTCACTCCTTAAGAAAACATGCAGATGTAGGGATATACCACTTTTGCTGCCTTCTGAGGATTAGAAAGCATCCAAAGATCATTTCTGAAAGTATTCTTTCATACACAATGGCCTTTCATTGTCCCCATTAGTAGCAGGCTCAGGCCAGATAATAATCTGTTTTGCACACATCTGACTTTTCTTCATGAAAGGAAAGAATTCTGAATTAAAAGTGCCTTCACATTTTTTTACCACTTCCACTTTTTTATTGAAAACGTGTAATCTAGCATCTAGCTTGTTTTTCAATAAAACAGTGAAACAGAGAAACAAATTCCCGAATTAACTTGGAGCCTTATTTACATTTTGATATAGCTTTTCAGTAAAAAAAAGATTTGGCTATTACAAAGTACAATTGAAACCTATGGCCCATTTTACTGTGGTGTTCAATGTAGTTAAAAAGGGTGGAAATTAATAATATAATTATATATATATATATATACAGTAAAACTCCAGTGGTCCGGCATCCAATGGTCCGGCACCACCTGGAACCAGGAAGTGCTTCGGGCAGCCGGACAATTGGAGCTGCTTTGCCCCCGGCTTCCCCGCTTCAGCCGCTGCTGAAACTGACCAGCTGCTGAAACTGACCAGCTGCTCTGCCCCGGGCTTCCCCGAGTCAACTGCTGGTCAGTTTCAGCAGTGTCTGACTTGGGGAAGTCTGGGGCAGAGCAGCTGGGGTGCTGCTGGGTTGGTCCCCCTGGGTCCTAAAGGTGCCGGATTATCGGAAGTTTACTGTATATGGATTATCACTTGATTTTTTTTACAAAGGTGAAAAATGATTTAAATGAGCTACTATGAAGATTCCCTTCTCGGAGAACTTAGCAACTTAGCACTTGACTATCAGGACAGCATTATATCTAGGGCCAATGGTGACTTCATGAGGGAGCAAGAGGGACATTAATACTCCATAGCATTTGCAAAGTAGCAGGTTCTGCTCACATCTCTGTTCCCAATAGAGTGCTACAATGCAGTTGTGTTGGGCATTAGCTATATTCTTTGCTTCTTGCAGATGGACAGCCTTCTTGGCTTTCCAGAGATCACTTTTGTATTTGTCAGGTCAACAGAGGATATAAAAGATGTGTATTCCTATGCAGAATGGATATTTGTAGTATTTCATACTGTATACAGAATGGGAAGCGACTGTCTAGGAAGGAGTACTGCAGAAAGAGATTTAGGAGTCATAGTGGACTAAATATGGGTCAATAATGTGACAGTGTTGTGAAAAGAGCAAACATCATTCAGGTATGCATTAATAGGAAACGTGATAAATCATTCTTTAACAATACTCTGCACTGATTAGGCCTGAACTAGAGTATTGAAAAAGGTCCAGAGAAGAGAGAGAGAGAGAGAGAGAGAGAGATTAAAGTTCCAAAGAACATGACCTAAGAGGGAAAACTTGAAAGTATTGGGTTTGTTTAGTTTGGAAAAAGAGAAGACCAAGAGGGGACATGATAGAAGTTTTCAAGTAACCTAAAAGGGTATTTACAAGGAGGAGAGAGAAAAATTATTCTCCTTATCCTCTGATGACAGGACAAGAAGCAATGGTTTTAAATTGCAGTAAGGGAGATTTAGGTTGGACTTTAGGAAAAACTTCCCAACCATCAGCCAAACTTTCCTAACCAAATTGCAAAGATAGAAAATGGTTAAGCACTGGATCAAATCGCCTAGGGATGTTGTGGCATCTCCATCATTGGAGATATTTAAAAGCAGGTTAGAGAAACATCTATCAGGGTTGATCTAGATGGTGGTTGGTCCTGCCGTGAAAGCAGGGGACTAGACTTGATGACCTCTGGAGGGTCCTTCCAGCTCTAGTATTCTATGATTTTATGGTTTCCTCTTCTGTGTCTATGAATTGATGTTTTGATTCTTGGATAAGCTTCTGTTAATTTTTCTTTTTCTTTTTTTATTAGAGAATATGGGTTATCGTACCTTTCTTTGAGAGCTAGCATTGGACTATGGACTGCAACTCTATGCATCATCCTTGTTGCAACTGATGCAAGCTCCCTAGTCTGTTACATTACTCGGTTTACTGAAGAGGCATTTGCTTCTCTTATCTGCATCATTTTCATTTATGAGGCCTTAGAGAAGCTATTTCATCTCAGTGAGACGTATCCAATCAACATGCATAATGATTTGGAACTGCTGACTCAATACTCGTGAGTAAGATCTCTTTTGTTAACCTTGGTGTCTTCTTTTTCATATGTTATCAGTCTTGGGAGAATTCTGCTATTTTACTATGGCACCATATGCAACAATTGAAGAATTCCCCCAGGACTAAGTTATGTTTTCATCGTGAAGATTAAAAATGGTGCACAATAGGAAAAGCACTTTCATGCTTGAGATGCATTGCTTGACATACTGTAGCCTGTAGATGTGACAGAGTCAACTCAGTCTTTTTCAAGTTGCTATATGTCATTCCTCCTTTTGATCCATGTGATCATAATAGGAGCTATGTGCATTTACAGGGTATGCCTGTTATTGCCTGATTCTGCTATGCAGAGGCTTCGGTGGTGTAATGTTTTTTAAAAAGTGGATAAACTAACTTAAATAATGAGGCATGGAAGTGGTATCATGAGCTTTTGTGGGTATAACCCACTTCTTCAGATGAATGGAGTATTAAAAGTCCAGTTCCAAAATAAATAGGAGATGCGAGGGGGAAGGAAGGGGAAAAATAGTGAATTAGAGTGTTCATGTTACAAGAAGCTGATAGAGAACATGCAAATTATCCTTTCCCCATGCTTAAAGGTCATGATACCATCTACATGTTTTATTAGTCTTTAAGGTACTGCTAAACTATTAATTGTTTTTTGTTTTTTAAGTTTTTCCAGTTACAGACTAACTCAGCTACCCCTCTGAAGCTTTCAAATTGTTAAAAGTGGGAAAACTCAGTTAACCCTTGACTGCGCTACTACTATGAGACAGTTGACTTAAGTGAGATTTTTGCCTTCATGAGTAAATGGATGAGATGGAAATTTTCTTTTATAATACATTTTAGCTTATAATGATTGTTTTCTTGAATTTTATTTTATTCCTTCTCCCACCATTGTAAGAATCTTTTTAAAGGGATATTGATTTACCTGGGGTAGGATTCTGTCCTTGGTATACTAAGGTATACTGGTTCTGTTTGCTAGGAAGACAAAAACAAGAGAAACACACACTGGCTGGGGAAGAAAAATTGCAAAGATAGAAAATGTAGCTTCTGTCTCTGGTGCTGATTTATTCTCAACCTGGCTACTGGAGAAACACAGGCACAGCATGTAGTGTTATCAGCTACACTAAGACTTGGCAAACTTGTACCAGCTATTTAAGGAATTGCATTTAACTGCCTTTCGGGTCACAGGCTTACAGCTGTGTTACAAAATATAGGGTGTGTCTAGACTACATGCCTCCATCGACGGAGGCATGTAGTTTAGATGTACCCATAGTGTCTTTACTGGCTAAATCAGGATACATCTACACTGCATTACTTTTCTGGGATATCAAAGGTATCCCAGAAAAGCAATGCCACGTCCAAGGAATGTGTCCACTTTTCCAAAATGTTTTTGGAAAAAGTGGACATAATCTTTCGCCATCACTGCAAGCCTCATTCTATGAGGCATAAGGGGTGAGTCAAAGGAGCACTTTTAAAAAAAAAATTGGCACCATGTAGGCATGCCAAATTTCGGAAAAGCCTCTTTAGAAAGTAAAGTGGAAAAAGATACACAATTTGCATATTTCAAATTGTATTTCTTTTTCCGATTTACCACTGCAGTCTAGGCTTAGCATCAGACTATTATTAGGCAGGAGAAAGGATGGTGATAGGAGAGAAAAGAAATAAAACGAGGAAGGAAAAGGACACATGGGGGTGAGTGACAAAGCCTTGGATCCCAGATGGTATTTTAGATTCAGCTATAGATAGTACATTGGGAGTGGCAAAATCATCTTGGTCCCTTTCTCTGATCCAGTCTGGACACATCTCTCAGAATTAAGCTGAAAAAGGTCTAGCATCCCAGAAGACAGACAGTGTGTCAGCCATGATAGTGTGGAAGCCTTCCCCTTTTTCTGTCTGCCGGTGTCACAGGTCACCATCCGCTCACCTGTGTTTTTTCCCCACAAAGTCTTTCTTTTTTCAGAACCACGAAAGGGGATGATGGGCAAATAGCCCATCCTCTCATTTTGTCCATCAAATGACCCTAATTTCTGAGACACCAACTTTGGTTCACAGATTTCTGGTTCTACACTTTTCTTACTTACCAGGCGTGATCTTTACACAATTCTTTAGTTAAATCAAACACCCTTTATTTTTAGGCCATTCAGTCTTTTATCTCAGTTTTGTACCTTTTTCGATTAACATGTATTGTCATAAGTTATTGCAGTAGTCCATTAATTTTCACTCTTTTCTCACACCTAAGCTCAGTTAGGACAAATTTATATGCCCTGTTGTTTTAAGAGAGGAAAACCCCGAGGTTTATGATAACAGGATGTGGTAGTAGGGAAATCCTAAGATGGCAGCCAAGGTTCCATCAGAAACTTGCTTAGTTTTTGTCAGAATTTCATTGAAATTGGCATGGTAAGGGGGAATGATTTTTTACTTCAGTAAATCAATGTTTTATAACAAAAGTATGTTCCACTACATAGCTTCCAGTTAGCTATAGCATTAATAATGAGCCTATTTTTCATTATTGTCAAATATTGAGGAAATATTTTATAGAATATAATTTACTTGGACTGTAAGGTGGATAGAAAGCTGGCTAGACTGTCAGGCCCAACGAGTAGTGATTAATGGCTCAATGCCAGGTTGGTGGTCGGTTTCTAGTAGAGTGTCCCAAGCATTAGTTCTAGAGCTGGTTTTGTTCAACATCTTTATTAATGACCTGGACGAGGGGATGGATTGTACCCTCAGCAAGTTTGCAGATGACACTAAGCAAGGGGGAGAGTTAGATATGCTGGAGGGCAGGGATAGGGTCCAGAGTGACCTAGACAGATTAGAGGATTGGGCCAAAAGAAATCTGATGAGGTTCAACAAGGACAATGTAGAGTCTCACAGTTGGGATGGAAGAATTCCAAGCATTGTTACAGGCTGGGAACCAACTGGCTAAGTAACAGTTCTACAGAAAAGGACCTGGGGATTACAGTGGATGAGAAGCTGGATATGAGTTAACCGTGTGTCTTTGTAGCCAAGAAGGCTAATGGCATATTAGGTTGCATTAGGAGGAGCATTGCCAGCAGATCTAGAGAAGTGATTATTCCCCTTTATTCAGCTCTGGTGAGGCCACATCTGGAGTATTGTGTCCAGTTCTGGGGCCCCCACTATAGAAGGATTTGGATGCATTGGAGAGGATCCAGTGGAGGGTGAACAAAATGATTAGGGGGCTGGAGCACCTGACCTATGAAGAGAGGCTAAGGGATTTGGGTTTGTTTAGTCTTCAGAAGAGAAGAGTGAGGGGGGATTTTATAGCAGCCTTCAACTTCCTGAAGGGAGCTTCCAAAGAGGATGGAGAAAGGCTGTTCTCAGTCGTGATGGATGGCAGAACAAGGAGCAATGAGCTCAAGTTACATTAGGGGAGGTCTAGATTGGATATTAGGAAAAACTATTTCACTAGGAGGGTGGTGAAGTACTAGAATGGGATGCCTAGGGAGGTGGTGGAATCACCATCCCTAGAGGTGTTTATGTCTCGGCATGACAAAGCCCTGGCTGGGTTGATTTAGTTGGGATTGGTCCTGCTTTGGGCAGGGGTCTGGGCTTGATGACCTCCCGAGGTCTCTGGGCTTGATGACCTCCTGAGGTCTCTTCCAGCTCTATGAGTCTATGATTCTTCTTTATAAAAGTTCTAGAAGATTTACCTAGCATTGCCCAGGTCCTTAGCTCAATTTTTTGTGTGTGTGGTCAAAATATTAGGGGGCTGAGCCCCTCCTCGCTATGCTCACTAACCCCCCTCTCTCTGGAAGCTTTTATGGCCAGAAAGCATGAGAGCTGTGCTCATCATCTCCCTCTTCCCCCCCGACGGGTGGTGGTGGTAGGTGTCTGTCTGGGAGGGAGGGGGTGACATGGTCCAGGGGGAGGGTCAGGCTCCAATCAGGAAGGGAAGCCTGACCTGTCCCATCTCAACCACGCCAGGTCCCCTCCACCATATGAGCCCAATCCACCCTTTGGGCATAGCAGGAGCATTGATCCCTGCAGCAAGCCCATTAACATTAAGTTGAACTAAGGAGGTAGAGATGGGCAGCAGCGTGGTGGCATGAGGATGCAGATGACATGATGACATCACTCTGTTCTCCTGCAGGAAATTATTTTTATATATATATATATATAGAGAGAGAGAGAGAGAGAGAGAGAAATTGAAAATGTACATGTTTCATTTAAATCATTGCTCTGGGGTAGGGCTGGAGATGAGGGATTCAGTATGCAGGCTGTCCCAGGGAGAGAGGACAATCTCAGCTCTCTGTCACCACAGCAGCTTCAGGTCAGGAGAGGAGTGCCTCTCCATGTGCACTGCAGGTCCACCAGGCACAGCAGGCAGGGCTGAACGGAGGCATGGGCAAGCCAGGCAGCTGCTCAGGGCGCCAACCCATGGGGGGCGCCTGATGGCAGCTGTAAGGGGTGTGCAGTGTCCCTTAGAGCTGCCATCAGGAGCCGCGTGCCTAGCTCCCCCAGCGCCCTTGCCCCCACGGCTGCGGCATGTGCACCAGCAGCGCTGGCTGGGCCGGGCCAGGCAGTGCATGTGCCGTGCGCCCCGGGGGCAGGCCCCAGGCTGTGCACCAGCGACTGTGACCGGCCCGTGCATGCGCTGAGCATCCCGTGCCCCCCGGGCAGGCCTGCGCATGCGCCCTGCGCCTGGGGGTGGCACCACATGCCCAGGCCCAGGGCACCAAAAGGGCTCAGGCCGGCCCTGACAGCAGGGAGAAGGGTGCGGTCCCCCAGCTGAGGCAGGTCCAGGTTTGTCTGCCTCCTGTGCTCCCCAGCCAGAGTGAGGAATGCAGCAAACCATGCACTTTTCCCTTGTTTCTTGTCGAAGAAGAACAGTCAGCAATGTTCCAGTACAAATTGGGTGAGGGGGAACTTCAGCCCTCCCCACCTCTACTGATGCCTGGGGGCTGGGAGGCTTGTGTAGGGACAGTCCTGGATAGGAGGGCACCTCCAGCCATTCCCTTTCGTTTGCCTGGTGATTCTGTCTCT